ATGTAGAAGGTCTGTCTGCTTTGCTGGTGTTTGTGCGCTATGTGTATAACAGCACTCTTAGCTGATATCTCCAAGAAAGAGCAACTAGAGAAGATATATGTTTAACTACATTTAATAAAAACAAACTTGTTTGGAAAAAGGGTATCAATGTTTGTAAAGATAGTGTACAGGCAATGGTGAGCAAGTTGAAGGTGCTTGTGATGCGCATTTTGGAAATAGCTATAAATGCAAAAAAAGACCTTGCGTTTGTGTATAGAGAGGCACTAGGTAAAAAAGAAAAAAATATTTTGGGATACAGTTGTAAAAATGATCATGGAAAATCTCGACAACTCCAACGGATATTATTTAAAATTTTAAGGGATGAAATGGATAGTCATCATACTGCACTTTTATTGCACGCTGAAGTAAAGTGGCTATCCAGAGCAAAAATATTTTCTTGAATTTTCAAAAATATTTCTATCCAGAGCAAAAATATTCTCAATGAAATATTTCAAAAATATTTCACATTCTATATTATTCTAATATAGAATGTGTAAACTGCATAGTGAGCTTTTTTCTTTTTTTCTTACCTTTCGCAAACAGTTTGAGGATAAATTTTCATGGAATTTTTAACAAATACTGCATGATTATTGAGTGTTGGTTATTTAGAAGATTTATTTACTATATGTAAAGAAATAAATTTATCATTACAGGAAAGAAATACTTCTCTTTTTTAATGTAATGGATACAATTGTGTCATTCAAACGATAGTTGATAGCCTGAATTTCTTCATTAAAACAGAATAAATTTGACCGTTTTTCTTCTTTAGATGACTTATCAAATGAAGAAAACTGAAAAGTAGATAGTAAAGTTTGTAATGAAATACTGCAACATTTGCATGACTTGCAGTTAACCCTTGGACGGTCTTTCTCACAGTGTCAAGAAGACTATTCTGGGATTAGAAATCCTTTCGCGACGACAGCTAAGCCGACAGATATGAGTGCAGCAGATTTTGAAAAATTAACTGACTCGACAACTGATTCTGGCATAAAACAAAAATTTAGACGAATTTGGATAAGATTTTCAGAAGAATATCTGAATTCACCAAAATGAGCTACTGATATTTTACTTGCTTTTGCGACAACATGTTTATGCGAAGCAGGTTTTTCATATTATGCCGCGCAAAATTCAAATATGGCTTCCATATTTGATGTTGCATCTGATATAAGAATTAAGTATTGTGTCTGATATTAATGTAATTTATAATTTGAAGACTAAAACACATCGAAGTTATTGAAAATTAAAATATTTTATTTATTTTTTGTATTGTTTATATCATTTAATTTGTTTTATGTGTCGTTTTTTTGTAAAATTAATAGTTGAAAAAAAAAACATTTCTCTTATAGGTATTACATAAAAATTAGAATAAATGTTTATTTTGTTTACCTAATATGTCTGTGTTATCCTTCATTATAGCTAAAAACTCAAATTTACTCTGTTGTTCTTAAAAAGTTTAGAACTTAAAAAGTGTTCCACGATGAGAAGTGTGCAGGAAACACTGTTCTACTTTGTACGTATTTTTGAAAAATGTTTCCAGTTTCGTTTTCACAAGACTTTGCTGGGAAAATTTTCTCTAAATAAGTACACTTTTTCTTGAGCATTTGAGGCTTGAAACTAAACACATTGTTATGAAAGCGAAAAATTCAGGAAATAATTTCTGGTCCGGCTGTCATTGAAAATCAAACACGTGCATGTGCAATGAAGAGACCTCCCGCCTTGATTTACATCTGACGAGAAAGATTGAGTGGACAGGATCAAACAGTTAATTAGTTAACTTTAGAAATTCAAAGCATATGCTAATAACTTAATGATAGCAACTCAATTGAAGAGGTTACTTTCTTGTGTACTTTAATCTCCGTAGCTTATAACGAGATGGAGAAATTAAAATTACGGCATTGTATGTTGCTAATGTTTTTAAAAGGCATGAACAAAGCCCGGCAAACTTTGAAACTAAACAACATTAGTTAATCATTTTGGCAGGGATAGGAGAGCGATGAGTTCTTCCAACTTATTGAAAAGGTGGAGAATTAAAATACTTGTGGCTAATTACAAGTAGTCTTACAGCTTATTTTTTATAGCAGATGATCATGATGAACTATTTGAAATCGCCATAAACCAACATTAGAACTTTATTTGTATTTTCCAACAATTAAATATTACATTTTTTTCTGGCATAACTAACACTCTTGTTTAAAGGGTTTTCAACAAATGTATCTGCAACAGAATATTAATATGTGAATACTGATACTGTAACGAAAGCTGTTCTTTGATTTTCTGGAGAAGTATGCAAATTTCTAGACTTAAAGGCTGATTTAACTTGACGAAAACGCTGCTTTAAATTGAGAAACGCATTATGCGTAGCGGATACATTAATGTTGTTTTTGAGTGGGTTATTATGTTTATAATTGGGTATTTATTATTAAGTTACAATAAATAATTTATAATTTGGTTATTACCATTAAGTTATTTCTACAAACTTGATTGCAACAACCCAATTATAAATAACTATTATAAAATGTTACCTTAATTTAAAAATAATTACGTAAGTTATTCTTTTTCTAAAAATTGCCTTGGGTGAAATAGCTCTGAAGACTGGTAAACCTCGTTTTATCCAAAGTTTTAGATGTGGTCTAAGAAGTTTTAAATGAGAAGCATGATGATGCCTCAAAGGCAAACATAGTAAACCGTTTAAAAAATGCCGCTTTATTGCAGATTTAAAGCAGACTAAAAAAAAAAAAGTAAGCCTTAAAAGTTAATGAAATAGTTGCACCAAGCTTAACCATATGTAGAACTAAAGAAAATGTTAATTCATTTAAACTTCAGTAATTACTTTAATCTAAAAAACTGTTAAAATAAATAACGATAGGGAAAATAAAAGTTTACTTTCAAGGTGATTTAACTGTTTCAGTTTTGGTTAACGTGCGGTAGTAACCTAACTATATTAACTGTAAATTTAAGAAGCGGTTGCCTTAATTCCATTTCTTAGACTTATAATTATAATCTTCTATGAAAAGAATAAATATATACTGAGATAAATGCATACAGATAGGTAACTTTTGTTGTGTATGTATTGTCGTTAAATTCGTCTTCAACAGGGAGTGTAACTAGGAACTGAAGTCACCAATTCACTTTCATCTTCGTGGCTGAACTTATGTGACAAGAAAATTATTGGAGAACCATCATGATCAACATTAAGAAGAACTCGTTTTCTATAAAACCCACTTCGCGTTTTACAAATTCCTTTATTTTTTTTTTTTTTTTTTTATTATTATTTTTTCATTTATTTGCATGTCACAGGCAAGTCTCAATAAAAAGAACTCAAAAAATGGAAATACATCTTTCGTCGCCGTGTTACGGGAGAAATACAGCCGTCTCTTATTTCCTCTTTGTGACTCAAAAATGCAATAAACTTTATTTGAAATTTTTTAAATTGTTTTGAAGTAATTTTTAATTTGTCTAAACCACATTTTTGTTTTGTAGTAATGTCATCCTTCAATAATTGAAGGTTGGCATTGTTAATTGCAAAAATTTCATTTTGGATAGCTTAGGTGATACTTATTTTGAGAACCGCCTTTCTTGTGCAATAATAATCGTTACGCTTCATCATTCCGGTGAAATCGGCAGATTGAACAACCTGTCAATTAGGTACCTCAGGGAAACTTTCGCAATATCCAGAAATCCCCCTACCTGTTCAAATTCTGCTCATTTGCGGTCGTAACTTTCGAGGGATGTGAATGACTGAACCGAAGCTTCGTTTACAAAATTCTCGGTATGATGGATCGGCTGAAAATGGCTGCGACTGAAGAGCGTCGGCCTATCTGTGCAATTATTGCTTAAAGAGTTCTCGCTCGACCGTGTGCAGCGTAAGAAATGATCAAATTCAACCGGCACCGTATTTCTAAATGTTACCTGCGTCTTGAAGATTGAGCGGTTTAAAATAGGGGGGGATGAAAATGGTTTTTGGAACTTCAGTATAAACGACAGAGCAAAATCTTAACTGCACTGGCATTCGAAAATTAGATTCTCATAAGTATGCCTTATTTAAAATATGCATTCTGTACTAGACGTTTCAATTGTTCTTTGTTACCTCTCTAAGTCATCAAATCTATTTTTCCGCCTTATTTTGTACTTCATTAACCTCGCAATTAGAATCCCTTCCCTTAGGCTAAGAATCATTTGTGACTGAAAAGTAAAATAAAAAAACTCTTAAGTAGCTGAAGATTGATTTAAATAAAGTATCTAAATATTAACGCTGAGAAGAAATAGAGAGTCTTCAGTGAAGCAAATTGAAGTTCACTGATATGTGCAATAGCAAATCATAATTTTTCTACAAATATAAAATTTATGGTTTGAAACTATTCTTTTATTTTTCTTATGTTGGAGTGTCCAAAGGATCATACTCTTAGGCAAAGTTATTGGTTTTTAGAGATTTCTCACAATTTTTAAAAAAAGTGATAAATAAATAAATAAAACTGCTTGCATGAGTAAAAAACCTGAAAAAACTTAATTTTACTTTTATTTAAATTTTATTTATAAGCAAGAGTCAAAGTAAGACATATTAAGAAAGATAATCTAATGGATAATTAGAATTTAAGTTGCTACTCAGTTTTATCACTTAAGTCACATTCATTGTTGTGAATTCAACTACTAAAATTTGTAATAAATTTTCAAATTTTCAATTTTACTATTTGTAATAAATTTTCAAAGTGAATAATACTAATTCACGAGTAATGACTACTTGTAAAATTTCGAATTTACGTTGAATTTTATTGTTTAAAAGTTCTGTAATCGTTAGAATGTTGCATGGTAAGAAATGTTTTTATGCGTTTATGTGGATATTTGTTCTTTCATTCAAGATTAGAATGAAAGGTGTGTCAATGAAATATTGATGTTTCTATCACGTGTTATTGTTATTTTTATGTTTCCACCAAATTAATGTTTAAATATTTTAATTATTGCAGATGTCGATCGCAGAGAATATCAGCAATCTGTATTTTCAGTCATGAAGGAGATCCTGAGACTAGAATGATGTTGAATAAATATACCGGTGCGCGCACGCGCCTGTCGTATAGTAGCTTGCTCTAAGATTCAGATCTTTAAAAGAAAGTAGTGACAACCATGGCATGTCCCAAACCGACCATGGAGTTTTATTTCAACGAAAGTCGGAGCGTAGAATCAGTAACTGATGGAAGCGATACTTTTTCTGTATCTTCGACACCCAAACCCATCAAAGACTTCAGAGGATCCTTGTACAAACCTAAACTGGATCCTTTGTCGCCTTATGGAGGTCTTGCTGGCAGGGCATCTCCTGGTCATGATCTGGGATACCACACACTCTTGACTAGAGACAGTATAACACCAACTCCTACTCAAACTCCAACAGTACCTCGCAGAACTTTTGACAGCCTCAGTTGTTCGTCGTCTTCATTCAGATGGAGCGATGTGCCATCATCAATGTGTAACACATCGCCCTATCCAAGAGCATCAGATGTTATGACGCCGCCACCTCCCCCTCGTAACCACATTGCATCAACCCCCTCTTCAACTCATCCATCATCCGTCTCTTCGGTCAGGTAAGTAGTTACGCTTCAGAAGCGATTTTAATCCAATATGTTATTTTGTCTTACATATCAGTGGCTATCTGTGTAATATGTTTTGAATATAAATTAGTTTCTTAAATGTTTGATAGATCTAACAGAAATAAGTCCTTATTTTTTATGAGTGCAATGCTTACTATTTTATCCTATTTATGTTCTAGATAAGATGTTTAGTTCATATATTGTTTCAGTTTACCTATCAAATATTTAAATTTGTAATATGAATTAAATACAAATCTTTTTCAAATTATATTTAATAAGGAGAAAAAAGAAGTTCTTCTTTATATTTTTCATTTTTTAGTGAAAAATGTAAAGAAGAAGCTTCTTTTTTCACTGTACACTTAATATTGTTCGAAACATGCACATTTCGGCACAGAAAAAAAATTGCGTAGAATTTCATGTTAAATACTCCTGCCATTTATATGTCTGTTATGTCTATTAATACACATGTTATCTTCAAAAGCTTAACGCGCTTACAAAACGCTGAAACGTTGAGATTTGTTCCCGAAGTATGTTATTTACCTATACTTTATTAATCATTTATTATAAAAGTGCAGAGCTATTAATTTATGATAAAGGACTTTAAAATCTGTAAGTGTTATTTATTAAAAACATATTTTTTCCATTGATATATACAAAAAATATATTTCATATAAAGCATTGCTGTCAAATAAGCATATTGATTATTTGAATTGGTCAATATATCATGTTTTTTAAGTTTAAAAAAATATGTAGCATCATAGGGAGAATTCAAGAAATGTCTTATTATTATTGCTTTATAGAAGTTAAAGTTCTTAATTTGTGCGATAATAATTGTCGTATTTAATTTCCGTTTGACTAAAAACATTTTTTGTGCACCTTTTAGAGTATCATAGTTTTATTTTTCCGAACGTTTCAAAATAGTCTTGTTAAACGTTTAATCAAGAAATCGTTCTGAACTGTCGAGTGGACCATGCGAAACATTCTAAAAATCAGAGTATGACTCTATACATAAAAATAATTGTCTGAAATGTGAAAATGTCATTAGAGAAACGAGCAGAGCAAATTATGAATTCTGTTTGAAGTAGAATAATACGTATGTATAAAGAGACCTCTTACTTAAAAATGTATCTTATTTTATGAAAACAGCTGTTTCAGATATATTGTATGTTATTTTTATTGTTGTTACTTTCTTTAAAATACATTGCGTAATCACAAACTTCTTTATAATTTTCTTTTTGCAGGTCCACAGGTTTGAATTGTTCCTCTCAGCTACTAGATACAAGTCCTTTAGGGACGACGTTCAAAGGCAAAAAATCTCACAAAAGCTCACTTTTCGATAAACTTTCGGACGATCTTATCTTAAAGATTTTTTCTTTTCTATCTAGTAATTATCTTTGTGTATGTGCTAGGGTTTGCCGCCGATGGTACTTTTTGGCTTGGGAACCCCAACTATGGACTTCAGTGTGTCTTAGCAGTGAAAAAATTCACGTAGATCGGGGCTTAAAGACTTTATTTCGATTGCTGTGCAGAGACTCACCCACAGTATGCCTTGCAGTTGAGAAGATTTCGCTAAGTGGATGTTGTAGGTTAACTGATAAAGGATTATTTACCATTGCCAGGAGATGTCCTGAACTTAAAACGCTTGAAATTAGAGGCTGTCCTTTGGTTTCAGATGCTGGTATTGCAGAAGTTATGGCCAGATGCGTGAGCATATTGAAACTCGATCTCACAGGTAAGAAATTTATGTGCCTATGCTATTCTCTTAATGAACGGTTGCGTAATTTATTTTATTATTCCAGCTCTAAATGTAATAACAAAACGCCAATAATATCCGGATTAAAAACTGATTATTATTATTACTGTTACTTTTTAGGATAACTACTAATTGCTCCTTTATTAGGCTAGAGAACCATAAAATTGCTAATCAACGCGTATGATTATTTCAAATAATTTTTTTATTTCAAATATTTTTTCCTACAACAGCTGATTACTTTAATTTATTAACTTTTTGTTTCAATGGCGGGCCCAAACCGTCCGCAGACGTTGGCCACTTAAGGATGACAGCGGTGGTCACTATATTATGGAAGCACCTAATACGAGATGGACCACCGTTGCCTCATATGAGGGAACGGAGAAGTATATCCATGGTTTCTCCGGGATTCGAACCCGGGTCCTTCGGTATGGCAGTCAGAGTCACTAACCACTTAATCGTTTGGGCGGCTTTTATTAAATTATACAAGAACTTTATTTAAACAGTTAAAATATTTTACTAAATTATACAAAATTGTAATTTAAACAGTTAAAAATATTATGTCGCTTACAATCCTACGTAATAGCTTCGAAAGCGTTTCTTCCGAAACTTGTGTCTATTTAAATTTTTGGAATTATTGTAGCCGTACAAATAGTAAAATGTATTTCATAACTGAGGGTTAGAGGCCATCAGTTTCGTTCTTAGAATTCATCTGAATCCGATATTTAGCATCGTAAAGTTATGAATATGGTGTACAATTACCAAGCAATTTACCTAACGGTTTCCATTCGCAATAAAAATGAGAAAGGTATTTTCATATAAAAGCCATTTTAATATTGAACATAATCAATGAGTATGAACAAAGCGCACTTAAGTTCCTTAACATTCACCCAGAGTGTCATCTTTATGAATGAACAGGTTCGCTTTATTCAGGGCTTACTAATGATCTTGAAAAGCGACTTTCAGCATAGATGCACTGTGTTACGTCACTGATACGTTCATCAATCACTGTATGTTAATTATAGCATTTGCTCACGTCTTTTTCTTTGGAACAATGCTGGACATTAAATGTTTCACTTTCAAAAAAACCTGTTTTAATATTTTCTTTTAAAACCGATTTCTCGAGTCTCTTTAATAGATCCTTTGCCTTTCTTCCTTTTTTCTTTCTTTTTGAACGGGAGTATACTTGGTTGAAAGATTTTTCATATAGTGTCCTATATAGTAGTCGAAAAAAAGAAACACTGTGTTCACACCATATATTTAGCAATTCTACTTTTGTAGCCTAATGTTTGTTTTAACATGATGCCTGGTCAGGTTCGTTCAGTTTATATTTCATTGTTTTCTTCCGGTTCCGTCACATCTCACATGATAATACAAATCTTGTCTCCTCTTTCTTTAGGTAAAAGTAGTTATGTCTTATTTTCTTTTTGGAGGCTCGAAAATTTAGTTAATGTAGTTATTTTTTTTCCTTTGTGATAAGTTAATAATTTCTATTTAAAAGTGGTTCTGTGCTTGTTTGTTAATGAAGAATCCTTTTCGCCTTGCTTCATACAATGTATATGTTACGACAAAAGATCTAAAAACAGTTGAAATAATATGGAGCTTATGCATTCTTAGATAAATTATGGAGTAAAATAGTGCTTAAGTTCTCTTGCTTCAGTAATAAAATATCGAAAACGTGTTAAAAATTGTGTCAGTAACATTCTCCAAACATTTTGTGATCTAAAAAATAAATATATTATTCTTACTAAGCTGTGACCACAAAATTGCTAAAATGTGGATATGAAAATTATAATGCGAAATACAGTACAGCCATGCTTTATTTGTTGTGTTATTTTCGATTTAAATATAGAAACTTAACAAAATTATAAGTAACAGCGCTGTAATTTAAAGCATCATTACGGTGTTTTTAGTTTGATCTGCGCTTCGGAACTAAGTATAATAAAATATTAACAAGCCTTGAGAAAGAGAATTTGAAAAAGGTATTTTAATCACCTTCCCTCGAAGAATCAAAAAGAAATGTTCAAGATTTATTAGCCTATACATTTTTACACAATTCAAATACTTCAAAAGCAGAAAAATCGCCTTTTCTGAGTTCTTTCCTTGCTATGAATTGAAGACTGAATATCAGTATTCGTAACGCTTCTATGGTAAAGCAAGCATTTAAAAACATTTGAAGTAAAACCAGCATAATCTCCACTCCATTAATATTATTCGTCTTAGATGATTTATTTGTAGTATTTTGCTGAATATAGAAGATTGTATTAATCTCCTTCAGACTGTACTAAACAGGAAGCAAGTTATCGCGTAGTCTGAAACAAATCACTAAGTTCTAAGAAGGTTAAAATAATAAATATCTTTTATTATTATTATTATTATTATTTAACTCGTAAATGAACAAAAAGGCACTGCTTATGTGACAGACGAACCTTGGCTACTTGCGGGTATTTAAATTAACATAATATAAATTCAAATGTAGTCCGAGATAACAACACAAAATGTACAATTTAAGCTGGCCCAAGATTGTGAACGATGCGTATTTAAACGTCGGCTAAGATGCTAAAACCGGAATAAAACTTGGCAGAGCTGGAAATACTAAGTAACAGTAAGACGAGGCTGCCAAAAGGTCTATTCTAAACATTAAAACCATCAGTTTAAGTTCACATTTAACTATTCTAGTGAGAACTATGGAAAGAAGAAGCTATAGTGAAGGTTTAAATCATAATAATTGGTTAATTAACAGAAATTCTTTTTATAATTAGATTCTAAAACTTCATAACTTCTTATGCTAAACCATCGAATCTTAGTAATTCAAGTATAATTTATGCTACCTTAAAAAAAATTAGAGTTTACATTCTATTGAAATTATTTTACTTTCCTCTAACCAAATTTTCGTTTTCTGAATATGTTACCAATAAAATGATTTAAATATAACTATGAAATTACGTAGCTTGAAAAAATGGTATAGAAATCTACACGAAATAGTAAAAAACTTTTATAAAAGTGTATTAAGTACCGTTTTCTCTACGCAACAAGAAATTTTTCTGCTCCTGGTCTCAGTTTGTTTCCAAAATGTAAAATAAAGAATATATCTAAGCTTTCGTGCACAATCTTCGTAACTGTGATGGAAATTTTTCCAACGTAATAATAACAAATCTTTTTTTTTTTTCTATGAATTCATGTATAATCTGACGTAGAAGAATGTGTGTGCATGCATGTGCTTTGGAATAAGACACCACCCCAGGGAATTCCGAAGTTTAAATAATACGTTACCTTCTTTATTTTACGTTACGTTTGTGGTAGGTGGCTTCTCCTACGCAAGCTGTAATAGGCCAAAATCCATCTCTCAGCGAATCTTGTCTGCAAATTACCTGCCTCAATCATTAGGGCTGAGCGCTTATGGGTGTAGGCTGTGGAATGATTATTAGGCCTTGGTTGCTAAAGACTGTATTAATTTCTATATAAGTGGATAAAATTGCAGGTTATCTGGTTTATATAATTAGATACGGCATCGTATATGAATTTGAGCTATTGTGTGCGGTGCCACATAATTGGTGACGGGACGAAGACGTAGAATTTTTTCTTACTCTTTCTAAATTCCTATTCTTATGCAGGTGGGGCGACTCTACAGCAAGCTTTGTAAAAAATACTGACAAATTTTTATTTCTCTTAACATACGCGAAGGAAATGCTTTTAGAAATTTCTTCAGCGTTTCTAAATCATGAAATCAAGCGCTAGTGCACGCTTGGTGCACAGATTTTAAATGATTTTGAAACTGACCACAATGAATGAACACTTGAAACCATAATAAATTCTGTATTTTTGTAGCCGAAATGTTTCTAACGAAGGAGTTGTATGAAATAGTTCGTGAAGATAAAATTGTATGTCAACGATGAGCCTCGCCTCCTAAGTGTTAGAGAAACCTACGAGCTTATTAACAGGTACACTAACATTTAAATTAATTTCTTATGCCACTTTACAGCTTATCATCAAGAGGTTATTTATCATAAAGGTTACACTGTTTCATATAAATTTTAGAGATGTAATTTCACATAGAATAAGTGTCAAGTCAAAGCTTTAATATCTGTTATTGCTGTTGTAATACATTATTATGTTTGACATTGTAAGGTTTAAATAATATTCAAATTCCGTAATTTGAGGCTGTAGCCGTTTTATTACCGAAAAGCTCTTAAAGATCTGTGATATGAGTATCATTTCAGATATCTTATCTCTGTTCCTCACTGCGTGAAATAGACAAGTTATTTTATTCAACATATTTCAAAATTAATTCACCAATGCTACACTGTTTCCAGTGTTGCACTTTCAAAGGCAAATGTATCTTTATTTATAAAACTTAATTACCAACTGTAAGCTCATTGCTAATACCGCTAACAAAAGGAAGCTACATATGCAAAGTTTAATTTCCTTACCTAAAATATCAGCAAAGATTTTTTGCCATCTTTGAGTATATAGTTAAGTTGCGAAATATTGTAAAACACTGCTTAACCGACGCAGTGCAGAAAAGTGACGGTGAATTAGTTTGTTCAAAAACGGATAATGTTTAATTAATTTTTTTCATTAATTCATTTTAAGAGATATCCACTTTCTGGGTATAATGGAAAAAGTCATCTTAGTATTTATAAAATGCAAAAATAATGAAGAGTGAATTCTTTGACTAGAGGATGACTTTCACTCAAACAGAGCTTGAATTGTTCGTTGGTAATCGTAGGAACTTTATTATCGCTAATTAATCTATATAAAATAGCTATGTAACTATCTAACTATGAAACAAATTAAGGTCTGTCTCACTAAAAACTAGTACTGCAGCAAAAAAGCAAGACAAAAACCAATTGGCCAAAAAGAAGTAAGACAAAAATTGCCCGTTGGAAAAGAAAGAAAAAACATAATGAGATTCTAGGTCTTGTATTAACGTGTTATACACTTTCCTTCCTATATCTCCGCCACTTTTCTTTGAATTCTTT